GGGGCTGTGGAATGCAAAAAGCAAGTTCGTCTGCTTCCTTTTTGCAGGGGGTTGTGGTGACGTCTGAAATCCCAACTCTGATAGGCTTTGATAGAAGGATAGGGGGTTGACCTCAAAGCAAGCTGCTTTGAGGTCCACACACTATCCTTCAGAGCCTATCAGAGTTGCGATTTCGGACGTCACCACAACCCCCTGCAAAAAGGAAGCAGACGAACTTGCACTCTGCAAACGTATCGAGAGTGCGCAACTGCCATCTTTTCTCTAAATCAGACGTCGCTCATGCATCTAGTCCAGTGTCCCTTGACCCGACCATTTTACAACTGGCTGATGGAATCCCGGACAAAATCTCACCGGACAAAAGCTCACAGGACAGAAGCTCACCGGACAAAAGCTCACCGGACAAAAGCTCACCCATTTTTTCACAGACCCAGACAAATGCTCACCACGAGAAAATTTCATGTTGGTCTTAACACGTGTGCGGACAACTTAGGTGCATGCGTACGACACTAAAATACAACGATAAATTAAATTAAAAAAAAAAAAACATGCATTCGTAATGAAGTGACATTGTGCCTAACCTTTTTGTGCGCGTTTAGCGTGACAAAAGCGCAATGACAAAGCGAGGTCAAGAAAGGGTGACTTCGCTTCTTCGGTCACTCTTTGGGTTCAAAAACTTCGGTTCACGAAGTTTCTTGGGCGTGGCACACGGGTGCTCCGGCATACCTTGAGTCAAGGAAGCTTGATCTTATCAGCTCCATTCAGTTTCAGTGACCTAGATGATGGTCCCAAATCGTTGCTTCTCTGCCTGTAATGGCTTATCTGTCGACACCTTTACATGGATTGGGATGCAGTTCCCATAAAAAATGGTGGAATGTCCATCGCATCCGTACTTTATCCCAGACCGTGTTTCACCCGCGGTAGCAAAAAAAAAAAAAATAAGGTGAGCTTTTGTCCGGTGAGCTTCTGTCCGGTGAGCTTCTGTCCGGTGAGCTTTTGTCCGGTGAGCTTTTGTCCGGTGAGCTTTTGTCCGGTTACCGGCTGATGGGCCCCGGAAGTGTTTGGAGATGGAGGAACTGTCAAGAGTATTGTCTTTGGCTTCAGGGATGTACTGTACATGAGTTTCTCGTCGCTGATGCCGTCGGTCAGGTAGGTTCCAAAGTACCCCATGGCTGCGTCGGCCGTCGTGTGAGGCGTCAAGGATTCCGCGATGACGGTCACCCGGACTTCATCCAGGCTCTCAATGATCCTGACGGCTGTGGTTAGCCCGATGATGCCGGCACCGACGACTCCGACTTCGAGAGTCATTATTTGAAAGCACTGTTGTGGGCGTTACCAAAAAAAAAGCAACGAAATAGGTTACTCGTTACTTGCTAATAAAAGGAACGCGTTACAAACCCAAGTTACCTTAATGTAATAAGAACGCGTTACCGTTACTGATCGCAGTTTCCAGCTGCAATTTGACTGAAAACCATGCTGGGACTGCTTAGTATGTCATTCTCCTCCAGAAAAGTTAATACCGCGCGGTTAAGGACGCGATCAAATGTGTACAGAGAACGGATGTGATTGAGGCAGGGTGATAACTTAATATAGGCTTGGAATAAGATGTTTGGGGAAGTACCCAGTTGTGTACTGAGTGTAAACATTGAACACCCTGCCTGTTAAACACTACAAAACCTAGACACATAACTTTCGCACTTGATAACTACATCCTGGCTGTTCCTCCTTGCATTGAGCCCAACCTTCGGTACATTTTAAAGGGTGCACAAGCAGAGTTTATAGAGGAAGGCTAAGACAGCCTGATGCCCCACTCCTAAATCGGCATATAAATATACACGGGGAATTTATTAACCGAGCGTAAGATCACGTAGCCAGAAGACACCAGGCTGCACGGATTGCGGCTCAGTGCAGCAAACCTTGAGCTCGGGGTTCGCTGCATTGTTTCAGTTTTCTCTAGCTCGTAACACATTATGGTGAAAGCCTACTGGCACACTTCGAGTATCTGTGTCTCTAGCTTCCTTACTTCGATCCCCTTCCAGAAACGTCATGATCAGCAACCAGGAAGAGAATTACGGCGATAGAACTTGCGGTAGCGGTTTACTACACCTGAGCTGCAAGCTCAGTGCTACACCAGAGCTTCAAGCTAAAGTACTGCAGCGATCGTCGCCGGCACCGTAATGCCCCCCTACTTTTCAAAGGTACAGAAACTCTAGGTCTCACGCACGGTGAGTAGCGATCAAAGCTATCCATTCGCTTGCACTTCATTTTTTCTAAATGTCCACAGAGTTAAGGCTTGACCGCATGTAAGGGATCGAGCGAGCAACGGCACAAGCGACGAAAGTCAGCGACGAGCGACGGAGAATTCTCACTGTCGCTCATCGTGCCACTTGGTGTTTGGATTCCTAGAAAACGTCACTTATCGCCTTGGTCACTTCCTACCGTCGGCTTCGTGCGGTTTGCCTTGTCGCGCAACTGACCGAGCGACAGCGAAGTGGGTCTTCGTCGCTTGCCAAATTGCTTACATGCGGCTTATACTTTATAAATCCCTCACTAACAGCGGCAAGTAAAGAGCTCTTCCTTAACTTTACCTTTTAAACTTTTAGCATTTGGCGGAGCAGGACTATTTCTGGCTGATTTCAACTTTTCTTCCTTCCCATTTTCTTTTCTCGTTTTCCTTCTTCGTTTTTTTTTCTTTTTTTTTTTACTTTCCATTTTTCGGGGGGGGGGGGGGGGGGGGTTGCTTTTCCGCGCAATTTGTTTTTTACACCGACAATTACCTATAGATTATTTTAGGGGGTACATTTTACAGCGTATGTATATCGCCTTGTGTCCGTCGCAGTGTGTCAATGTCAATCACCGTGCCAGCATAGCCGTCTGTTTATCGCCGGTACCACGGCACATGCCCCGGCGAGCACAAATTGGAAAAACAAACAGCTTGTGCCAGCTGCGAAGTTCTGGGGTTGGGACCCAGGTCCCTGTGCTTCCGAAACAGTAATCCACGTAAACAGCGTCTCGGTGAGGATCATGGCCCGGGGGGGGGGGGGCACGAGCCCCGATGCACCCCAGTAGTCTACGCCTATGTGACCAGACATGTCTGAGAAGAATAGTTCTTTTTTTTTTTTTTTAACGGCAGGAAAAAAAAAAGGGATAGCTAATTTTTGGTCAGCAAAAAGTGTCGTCCTTGTATGTAACTTTAAATTAAGTTTGACGTATTAACATTTACAAACAAATGCACCACCTAATTAAACCCCTTCGTGTTTTTTTTTAAAATTAACTTGCAAGGGTCTGGATTTATACGGACCACATGACCAATGGCGTGATATCGCGCCCAATGGCGATGCAGCTTTGGTGGCAGAAAGTCGTCCAGTCTTTTTGCACCGAGACGTTTGAAACATGATACCGACTGTTCATTTGATTATTTGAACTGATTAAAGAAATACCGATCGATGACGTTCCGAGTAACTTGCGGCGAAGTGAACATTCAGGGTAATTCGAAAGGGCATTTCTGACACTGCCCAAGGCCATACTCCGCTTCACAGCACGTCTGATTGTAGCCAAAAGCTGTGCGGAGTGCAAGTTCGTCTGTTTCTTTTGCAGGGGTTTGTGTTGACGTCAGAAAGACGCCGAGCTGTGATTGGTTCTGAATGAAGGATAGTGGGTAGACATCAAAGCAAGCTGCCTTAACGTCTACCCACTGTCCTCCAATCAGAGCCAATCAGAGCTCGGCGTCTTTTTGACGTCACCGCAGCTCCCGCTCAAGAAGCAGACGATTTGCTCTCCGCATTGTGGAACGGAGGATAGTTTCCACGCAATGTAACCACGTTTGCTAAGAAAAGAAACAAACAAACAAAAAAAAAAACAGCGACAATGCTACACTGCAGTGAACTAAATTAGCGTGTCATGCATTCCGCGCATAGCAATTTACTCACGAAGAAAAATTGCAATGGCGTATTGTTTTAGAAACGTAAACATATACTACCTTTCGGCCGCGTTGAAGCTTCCGCCGGGAATTCTTTTAACGCGCGCTGCACCTGGTAACAAATGCCGTCAGTATATGGGTGGCAAACTGGGTGAAATCACGACGCTCAAATAAAAAAAAAAACAGCTGCAGTTTGCGTACGTGTACCGCAGACACGCACATCGAAAATCAGCCACACGAAAACATCTTCAGAAACAGGGAAAGGAAGACCACACAATTTATTCGGCCTGCAATAATATGTATGAGGGATGCAATGGCACTCTTGGCAAACCATAGCAATTGCTTCAGTATCAGTTCCATATACAATTATACATTCACCACGAGCCTAATGGTCTGCGAGAGTTAGTAAACGCATCTTTTACAACACGGGTAGTTTTAATTTCTTGTGAGTTTTGCTTTAGGAACTAAATTTGTTATAGCCCTAGTGTAATGCAGTGTTCCAGTAAGCTTTGAAAATCTACAGAAAATGTTCAAATTTCGTAAGAAAACCATACCGTCCGATGACGCATGACCCATTGTATTCGTAAAAATGTCGCTTTTTTTAAAACAAAAATAGTCACTGGCTTCACTGCACTAGCTGGTTGATTGTAGTTTCCGTTTCAATGCCAGCGGTTTCATTCTCTCGTAAAGTGTAACTGTAAGGCGGATTCATTTTACTGGGAAACTTGGTACGGCGCATACCAGACAGTTCTATACGTCGGCAGTAGTACAGCTGTACCACTATCATGCTATACTGCTATTCTATTGAATTGAATTGAATTGAATTGGTGTATTTGGACACTAGTTCTAAACTAACAGGGCAAAAGACCGATTGATTCTGCCTGACGTGGCCCATAACCCTACCACCTACTTAGAAATACAAAACAACTTATTGGTCAGATAAAAACACGAGCAAATAAAGATAAATAAATAAAAAAATGAAAAGAGAAAGTATGGTGACCTATACCTTTCATAAATTTTATTTAAATGCTGTGTATGCAGATTTACTGCGATGAGGAGTAGTTAGAGTATACCTCCTGCATGTTCAGGGTTTGCACGCGTGCACAAAACATATTTCGCCTTCGGGTGTCAGGCATCCCGCTTCTTTTTGGGTCATAGCTTCCTTTACGTATTCGGTGACATCCTGGATGAGAACGGGTCTCTCTTCTTCCGTGACAAGGGTTGAAAGGGGGCAGTAGCCCATCTTCTTTTCTAAAGCAAAGCGCAGGAATAAATAGGAAAGATGGTTAGAAGGCACTTGCTTTCGAGGCGTTACAAGAGAAGTGCTGTCTCTTATGTAATGCTTTAAATTAACTTTTGAAGAAAACATTCCTCGAAAACGAACCGCCAAATGAACGATGCTTTGGCTAGGTGAACGTTATCCCGAAAATGCACTTTACTGACAAACGTTAATTCTAAAATTAAGAATCAATGCCCTACAATGGGGTGTAGGTTAGCATTTAGCTCCGCCAAATTCATGGGACCGAGCACACGTGTCGTGCTGCCGATCGCACGGTCGGGGGCCCGATTCATATCGTGCCGCCTGGTTAATATTTGTGACTGGTAATAGTTCCTAGTTATAACTACGCATGATTAAGTACGATAGCCGAAGTTTTTTTTTATCAAAGGCAGGAGGCTCGCACTGTACGTGGGGAAAGCTGAGGCACCTCCATGCCTTTCTTATCTTGTCAGTGACCATATAGTGATGACATCAGAGGACGACAGGCGCAGGCCTGGCGTTCTGTTTCATTTCACGTGTTTTCTTCGGGGATAAGGGCACGGGCGAGTGCGAGTGATTTTCGACCGGACGTTTTAAGCTTCTACGCGCGAGTGCATGTACACAAGCCAAACCTAGAGCCACGCACTCACGCCAGCGCAGCTGGCAGGGCTGAAGCCTCCTTGTGAGTTGGAGTACAGAGTGTCCTCGAAGACAAATGACGGCGGTTTGTTGACCGGAAAAAATATACTGCGCGTTGTCGAGCCCTCCGTTTTCGTCCAAATGTAGAAAAATGGGGCCTGTTTCTTGTATTCCTGTCCTTCGTCGACCCCCCTATTGTTACATGTAATTTTTTTTAATCTTTTATAATTACCGAAAAAAATAACGATTCGTTCTGAAACTCCGGCATATGGTTCTGATTTCCTTTAGTTTTAAGCACATAAGACAAAAAACAAAACAAAAAAAACTTTTTTTTGCATCTTGTACATTTTAAATATATGGTACTGGGTCGATTTCCATCCAATTATCAAGTTTGGATTACCTATCGTCTTCTCTAGGGTGTCGTTTTCCGACGGCCATGGCCAGACGTCGCAAGTGATTGGCGTAAGATCGGCGGACCTCAGGAGGTCTTGCACGTACGACATGAGAGCATCTTTGCCCTTCCCCACCAGGTCGACGGTCGGGGCACAGACCTCTCGCACTCCTGTAACAAAAGAAAAAAAAAAAAGATAAATTTTAGGCTGACTTATTTTCCGAGTGGATTTAGCTTCGAGATTTGCGGCTCTGTAATCGGAGACGTATTTCTGAGACAACGGAGTTCAAACGACCGCCAGAAAACGGAATGCTTCGGTACAACGACACACAGTGTGAACGATCATTTAAGTTCAAGATGAGGGAGACACATCACCTACCTTTGCGACCGTTCAGACACCTTTCACTCTATTCAGCTTCGGAGGTCTTGAAATTCCGACTAAATTTAGGCCGGCCGTCTTGTTTATATCAGTCGTACGCCGGAAACACGGGCCACGGAAACACGAGCACGCTGCAGAATGCTTCACATGACTAACTTAAAGATGGCGCTGTCGTTCAAACACCATAATTATCATAGTTTACACAGTTGCGCAAGTTTTGCGATTCACTAATATATATGAAATTTCATGTACGGTTTCACAAAATGGACCAGCTGCACCGTTCATGATTTCGGAACCGTGTGCTCCAACAACGACTCGCTAAAGCTCCCTAATCATCACCTCACCTTCGCGTATTTCTTCCAATGATCCATCCTCGCCAGTTTTCTGCGTAGTAGCGTCACGCGGGTGCAAGCGTTGAAGAGAAGCAAGCAGTCGCCGCCGGGTTTCATCATCATGGCGACGTTCTTCACGGCCGTTTTCTGGTCGTTTATCCAGTGCAAGCAGAAGAAAGAGAACACGCGGTCGAACTGGCCGTATTTCAGAACGAAGTCGGTCACTTCACTCGCCGAAATGTCCAGCAGGTCGTAGCAGATCTTAGGGCGGGGAAAATGCTTCCGCGCGAACTCTATCATCTCCAACGAGACGTCCGCGGCGACTATCCGTCTGCATGGACTACAGCGGGGAAGAAGATGGTCACGCGTGAAGTTCCGCAGCCCAAGTTGAGGAACTGTCGCTCCTGGAGCGCTTCGCCTGGACTTGAGCCTTGCAGCAGTTCTAAGGCCCGGATGTTTTGCCCTAGCTGTATTGCGTGAGCGGAGATGGAAAAGTCCGGCTGGAGCGTACACTCTTTAAAAAAAGGGGGTGTAGACGTTACACCCCTTGTCACATATACGACAGCCCAAAACTCCAGTTCGACGCACAGCGCGCTGACGTCCAACTGACTGCCCCAACTTTTGCGCGAGGGTTGATGACGGTGCGGTATAACATAATAAACGAATAAAATACGCATCAAAGTCTACAGGAAAAACACACGCAGGTTTTTGCAGTCTAGCCTAGAAAACCCCGATAACCTTTTTTGCAGTCAGTCACACATACATTAACTATTTTAATGAGTTGTACAGCTGCGCTATCAAGCCGCTCGTGAAATTTGGTATCGTCGGTACAACATCAGTGCGCTGTACAACCAACTGAAGTTTTGGGGTGTCGTATATGTGACAAGGGGTGTAACGTCTACACCCCATTTTTTTAGGGTGTAATGGCGGCTGCCCCAGACATCAAGAAAGGAACTGATTCGTAGATCGCGGGAGCATCTCTTTGACATCCGACTCCTTTTTGCGTTTTCTATTGTTCATTGAATAATGCCTTGGGGTACTTCACCAAAGCCTGTGGTTGTACCATGACAAGAAGTTGAACACGAGGCTGAGTTCAACAGCTGCAAGCAGCGGGTTTTTTAAAAACCCGAACTGTTTCCCATGAAAAACAGCGCATATCTGTTCGGTGCACGCAGGCGTTCATAAAATAAGGCTGGAGAGTAGAAAGGTAAGCTACATCGTTTAATTTTCTATGTTTACGATACATAAAGAACAGCTGGGTGGTTTCATTTCAAACCAAACACACGTGTCGGAATATTTTTTTAATATATATATATATATATATATATTATATCCCCTTTCTGCAATAAAAATATATTTTTAGAATTTTTTAATAAAAAGCTTTTTCTAAAAAAAGTTGAGGTGGAGCAAATCTGTTTTTAGGCACGGCCGGACTGGAAGCGCGCGCTCTCTTTCTTTCTCTTACGGCCTTTGCAATCGCCCGGGAGTCAATGACATTTTTTCTCCGTATGTAGTTCACTTGCTTGCCGCCAGGGGCGCAACCACCTCACCCCACTTCACCCCACTCGGAAAGTCCCTTCGAGCTGTTTTGCGCTGGTGTTCGAACTTCGTAGGTTGTTGTTTTGGCAACTGTTTATTGAACTTCGCTGCGATTTATGTCATGCAAGGGCTGTCTCAGCAGCCCTTGATCACATTGTCAAAAAAAAGGCCCCTTCTAAGCAAATACAGATGTCAGACACTGATTCTAAGCAGTTGGCAGCATCTGTGCCCGACTTGATAACCACTGACCTGAAAAAACTGAAAGAGCCTTGCGCTCCATCTCCATCCGTGACATACTCTGGTCTGGCGTACATGGCTATCTGGTGAAACTCATTAGTGAGTTTGGGTGCGCCGCCTGTGTTATGCTGTTGACTACGAGTAACAGAGGTGATCCTCTGTTCGTGTTATTGCAAGGCTTGGATAAAAGCGGACTTCATTATCCAAATCCTAGGTTCCTCGCACTTCTGGACAACATTGTTTTTTAAAGGCTGTTAAGCACCTTCCGCGTACAAACGTGCACGAAGTTCTGCAACTACTCATTGCACCCTATCATGAAGACGCGCCAATCCTAAGTTGCCCAGGGGGCATTGGCAACAGTCACTCAAAGCGCTTGGCAGGCTTAATTTGCAACAAGTTCCTCAGAATACTTCTGATTAACCATGCAAAGACGTTCACGGACAGAAACGAAAAATTAGCTGGATATGTGCACAATCCCTCGAGGAAGCACTTTAGGCTGTAATATGCACTGTGCGAAAATTGTACAGACTACTACACCCTCGTCTAGAGCAGCTGACCGACTTTATGTGCGGCCTATGAAATGATAATGCAGACCACGGCAATAGATAGATTGGGCCTGCTTAAATTTACGAGAGTGTATGAATTATTTGTCATTTAAGGTTCCTCCACGTAGAAGGGGTTCGTCTCCTCCTGTTCTTGAGTTGCAACAGAAGTCCTGGAGGTACAGAGGACTATAGTTTTTCCGCAATTGCATTCGCTGTCTATACTTACAACTTTTTACTCCCGAATCTCTCGGAGATGTGCGTCAAATATCCACCGTTTTGAGCTCATCAGAAGCGCATTAGATAGTGGCTGAGGGTCTAAACGTAAGGATCAGGTGTCAAAGGCTATAAAAATCTCGGCCGCAATTTGCAACAGCGTTGAGATACACTGTCAGACGTGTTTTGTGCAAAAGGCAAAGGGTAGCTTAGGGGTGAGGTGACAGCGCCCCCCGCGAATTGCAGCGGGAGGTGGCGATTGCCCCAATTGCAAAGGCCATAAGAAGAGAAAGAGAGCGCGCGCTTCCAGTCCGGCCGTGGTTTAGGCTGCTTTATTTTTGTACCCAGTTAATTTTTATTAAAGGTAAAAATGAAAACGCCGACAGTAATTTCTGTGTAAAGGTATGACGCATGGCCAGTAATGTCCTTTGCAGTGCTTTATAAAGCTACCTATTGCAGTGCTTTATAAAGTAAAATAAGCAGAAAATGTAATATTGTGTTTGTATGGCGGCTATAAAAGCTTAAATTTTCGTTTTTGTTGATTTGTCGCCCAGTAATACAAGTAATACAATTAACGCCTCTGAAATTTTTAGTAACTACCTTTAAATTCCTTCAATAAAAGAAGATGCAAACGGCGAGTTATGCTACTAAAGTGTCTAGGTGATAAAATGTTTAAGGTTTTTTCTTTTAATTGTTAAGGCCCCTTTCTGCAGCAATATTTGACGAAGTTCAGCAAGCTGTGTTGTGTGACCTAGTCAATATATTTTTATGATCTTTAGATCACCGTAAATCTCCAATTAAGCTTTCTTTGAAATATAGTTTGAATATTGTTTGCTAAACATATAACGCGTAACATTTGCTTGAAAAACAAATATTTAGAAACACTTGCAAGTTTGAAGTCGATTTTCTAAAAAAAAAACCACCTTTCATTCCTCTCATTTTTTATTTACAGTTAGGTAATTAAGTAGTCTGTCAGGAACTACATACAGAAATTGTAATATATTGTTTGCATGACCGCTATTAGGACTCGAACCTCGTGCTATGCGAGTTTTGAACGGGACTTCGCATAGAGCTCAGCGGAGCAGAATTTTGACCTATGTAAGGTTGTCTATTTAATGTTAGTACTTACCTCAACATCTGAGCGTGAAAGCCAGTGAAGCAACAGTATTTATCCTAACAATATTTATTTACTTGGCACTGGCGTGATTTGCAAGGTGTGTGATCTTCGCCCTATGTATTGACGGAGAAGATAGGTATTATCTAGACTCCCGGACAAACTTAAGTTAAGACGAAAAAGTCTAAGCAACCTGGCATGAGTCGCTGAAAATAGAAATAAAACCTAAACACAAGACACGCATTTGAAGCCTTACACGCTACGAAATGCTCGTTATTTTATGAAAGAGGCCGTAACTGCACAAAATAAACCGTACTTCCCAATCGTCGGATACAACATCATACATATGTATGTGTACTGCATATCTGTTTGACATAGTATAATATGAGAATTACCTATCAAGTTCGGTATTTCAAACTCAAAGCCGAAAGCAAAAGGCCTCAGAGGAAATCTTTAACGATCTGCATTCCCCCGAATTGAGATGAAGTATGCGCTGTGCCCGCACTTGTGGATACGGACTTCTAAGTAACTTTTTTTAGTTACACTACTTCAAATTGTATTAATGTTTATGGTTTGATATTGAGGAAACTGCTAACGATAAGCAGAAGACCTTACATAGGCCAAAATTCTGCTCAGCAAGCACCTGTGCGAAGTCCCGTTCAAAACGCTCATTGCACGAGATTCAAGTCTTAATAGCGGCCATACAAAAATACATTACAATTTCTTTTGGTAGTTCCTGATGGACTACTATATTACCTAACACTGGATAAAAAATAAAATAAACAAAAGTTTTTTTTTTTTAATGTACTCTAAACTTGCTAGTTTTGCGAAATATCAATTTTTTTCAGAAACATGTAATGCATTATATATTTATTGCACAATATTGAAATTATACAAAAAAAAAAGCTTAATTGGAGCTTTACGGTGATGTAAAGATCATAAAAAATATGTTGATCAAGTCAGACAGCACAGCTTGCTGAACTTCGTCAAATATCGTCACAGAGAGGCGGTTTGACAAATAAAACAAAATACATCAAAATGTTTTGACCTAGACGCTTAATTAGCATAAACAAGCATATGTAGAGAGTGTCCCGAAAAAGTTATATTGATGTACCGAAAAAGTAAGGAAAAGGGATGGAGTGAAATATGGGCACCCCCGATAATCTGGAAAAACGAGAGTTTCCACCTTGGCTGCTTCAACGGTCCATAACCTGAGAACACAAAATTCCACGAACTTGAAGTTTGCGTCTGTTTAATATAGGAATTGCGCGATAACATGATTTTTTTTTTTTAAATTAGAAATTGAACCCAAATTTTGTGCCTGAATTAATATGAATTCATGGTGTTTTTTTAAACTTTGCATATCTGTTTCAAAAAGGCCGCGAAAGTTACACTTAAACGGTTTGTACATGCGGCCAGGGGACATTCTGTGGGTGGATAATGTTTGCGATAAGTCGGCTAATTCATTAAAATTCGTTAACTAACTTTTTAGTTAGTTAAAATAGAAACAGGTTGCAACTAGAAACTTACAGAGAGTCATCGAAAACCACTAAATCAACTCTTTTTAGAACGACTTGAAGCTCGTGGGAAACTCGGGGGCTCACCAAGGTTACCACTAGCGAAGCAGGCGAAAGCTGGCAGTGGCAAAACGCTGATAATTAGATTATCGTCGCGTTCCGCCACTGCCAGCTCGGCGTTCTGACGTCACCATAGCCCCCTGCAAAAGAAGCAGACAACCTTTCGCTCTACGCACATGCGAACAGTGTATGGGCATTGAGACGAGTTCTATCACTCACCAGGGGGCCAGTCGTGTAGGCGGTACAGGAAACAAAAAAAAAGAAAAAAGAACGAATTCCGTTACAGGTTACTAGCAAATAAAAGGAATGTGTTACCGTTAATGATAAATAGTACCGCGCGTTACTTTTGCGCTACTTTTTATTCGTGAATTATAACGTTTTAAATTTTTGACTTTACCGGTGTGCACAAATGTAATATTTCAGAAACAAATGTCCATTCAGAAACTGAACATAACTAGCTTGTCTTTCTTTATGGTTCCACCTAAATACTCACGAAGCAAAAGCAAGAAAACGCGAAGGTATTACTTAAAAATTTGAAGGTACATGTTATGACTCCAAAACCTAGCGCTTAAGAACACAACACAAATTAATTGGTTAATTGGTGTAACTTTCTTTCTTGAAGGCTTGGGAAGAAGGCGTCACGAGCAACATGACTACGTTCACCGTGACTCTAAATATGTAACGTAATTACGTTATCCGTTAAAGTTTTAAAAATGTGACGTGCGCGCATCCACGTTACCTAAAAAAAAAAAGTAAAGGGTTACTTGTACCACGTTACTGCCAACTCTGCGGTTAGCCTTTCGCGTGTTTCTATTGGTGGCTTGGAACCGTTACGTCGTCACATCGAAGACGAACACACTTTAGAAGACTTTTGAGCGATTTATTTCAATATGACTCGAATTGTTCGGTGCTCCGCGGAAAGCTGACAATCGAATATAAACATTTGATGGTAAATACTGACCAGGCTTTTATTTTCTGCAGAAGGACAAAGTCATTGTGAGTTTAGCAACGCTGATCTCAGAAGAGCATCAAATCCCCCAACAATTACAAATAAACTCTTCCGCTCTATAAATAAAATTAAAAAAAGCGGGTTCTGTACAGAATTTACAGTTTCGATCTTCTTCTTGCCAAGTTGCTGCTTTGAATGACATGTTGTAGAAGCTTCACCGCATCACCAGAAGCTCCCCAAGAAACGGTAATTCCGGCACCACCATGACCGTAGTGGTGAACTATCGGGAGCTGAGAGAAGAAAAAGAAAAGTTCTAATAAAAAACATTTAACGACAGTGATTTCAACAAAGTTACCGAACAAATACCCACGGGTTGAAGTGAGCTCTTTACTGGCTAAGTTAGTGCCGGGGATTAGTAGTGTTTCTTTATTGTCCCTGTTTTGTTCGTGCTGTTTAACCTTTTATTTAGTTAAAGACTTCTAAATTAAGGGTAAATATAAAAATCTGAACAAAAATGTTATAGTTCATACTGTATTTGGTACTTCTGAATAAACATACCCACAACAAAAGGGTTTGGAGCTAATGAAGTAAAAGTACATTAATAGTAAAAGATACCAAGAGATTCGAATGACTTGAGAGAAAAGCACTTGTGCACAAGAAGCAAAGAAACGAAACGCAATCATTTCTCTTCAAGAAATTGCAAGCTATAGGGTCGTTAACGCAATATTGATGTTATTTTAAAGTATCTTCTTGAGGCTCGCACTCTTTTTTCTTGCCTCCATGCTGCCGCTCATTGGACGTCAGGCTATAAAACAACCATATAAATGTAATGCTTTGTTCGCAACTTTTTTGAAGCACTAGAATTAGCGCGACGTCGTTTCAATCGTGAAGTGATGGCGCTGTACAATAAAAGTAACTATGCGTCCTCTTTAGTACTCATACCACTGTAAAATGTGCGAAGCAGTCAGATGACAATAGGAATGAAATTTAGTCATCGCTGCGTTATTGAACGTAAATAAAATGAGCAATTAAAAGGACGTAGTCTCCTTACAGCTTTGCCCGTGACATTATACACACGATTCTCGTTTTCTAGCCGAAGAGGGCTCCTGTACGGTCGGAGTCCCACATGGTTTGTCAGAATTTCAGAATCCTGAAAGGTGCGAGAAGAAAATAAAACAAATAAACGACACTAAAGCGTATTTTTACCGTGCTTAAAGAAATGAATGTACACATCGCGACACTTTTAGCGCGAACATGACATTTGCGTATTTTCGCGTTTTACTTCTAAATAGTATTAGCGAGCACGAAATTTTATAGCTTACATTACATCCCTTGGTTTCAAAGAGAAAAACTGGAAAAACCGGCGATCGCTTGTTCGCGCTAACAGTGTCGCGCTCTGTACGTAGTGGTGCCACTATTATTACCAAAAACAGGTTATTTGTAGTAATTCAATAAATTTTAATGCACCTAATTTATAATAATGTTATCTTTCGTCTGAATCTATTAGGTTTCCTCTTACATGCACATGAGGGGTTGGCGATTTATTGTCTGCCGACTAGACGCTGTACCTGAAGATTTCTTAAATCATTTGCCACGTTTGTTACTGGTTTTCAATGACCACAGTTTATTTTGGCGAAAATAAAACACCGGAGTTCTCATTCGTGATTACCAGTGACTGCGCGAAGCACGTCACAGCTCTCTACTGAACGAGTGTACCCTCATAAAAATTTGTCAGGTGTCTCGCTCCAATTGGCTCGCTGACTGCGTAGCCTCAACTGTTTCTAAAGGTATTTTTATACGGAGTATTATTTTCAACATTGTGCGATAGATGTCTATAGTTTATATCAAAATCAGGATAATTATTATAGTCTAAAAAGTGACTGACGGTAGAGATCTACAGCGACGTTGATTTTTTGTTTGAATTGATCCTGGCGTACACTTGTTTTGGGAATAAAGCAGGAAGACAAGAAAAAGGAAACAAACATCTCAGCTCACCTTTAAACTCGGAACGAGTTGGAGGCAGTTTTTCCAAATATCTTTCGCAACTTCTGAATCAGGGACCAGCGAGGTTTCTCCGAATACGAGGCTGCCTCCAAGCACAACGCAATCCACCCTAATAAAAAAAAATTATCATGCAATTTGGGATGTTTCGCAATGTCGCGTGACATAGAGCAAAATCGTACACCATCGTCATTTGCCGCCAGGTTTACAGAAGAAAAAAAAATGTTACTGGAGCGTCCTATTGTTCAGGTACCAATTATGCAATAAGAAAAAAGAATTTAGCAGTCCCGTGTTAATCGACGGTATACAGGCCCAGCAATGGATGCGGCACGTGAGGGCGAAGTTGTTGGGCATTCTGTTCAAAACGACATCTGACCTCTTTGTTCCGAACGCTTTTTTTTTGTTCCGCAGCGCGTAAACGCGGCGCACTCCTGCACGAGCTTTTGGCATTGGCAGTGCTGGGACGCCATTTTGTTATCGACCATGCGCCGAGAATCTGAGGGGGACGATGAAACGAGAGCGCGCGGGGCACGTCAGAACGCCGTGCTCTGATTGGTACGATCAGTGGGTAGACCTAAAGGCCCGTTGACACACTTGCAACTGAGTGCGACCGAATGAGACATGAGCGGCTTTTAAAGGGGCACTCAAGTGGTTTTTGAGTTCGGGTTTTGATGATGACAGCTGAATTTAGACGCTCTAAGTATTCATAAAAACCAAAAAGTATAGTCATACGGTGATTATTTCTTTAATAAAAATGTAATTGAAGGTCGCCAAACCTCGGTTCCATCCGAAAACGAAACCACTCTCATTGGTCCTCGCACGCTTATCAAAAAGATCTCGGGCCAATGGCGTTGGACGACGTTCCGTCGCGCAGTGATCCCGAGATAGCCGCATCGGCCGAACCTCTTTGTCATTCGAGCTTCGATCATGGCGGAGTTCTCTACGCTCGAAGACCTGACGCCGTTAGAGGTTGAAATTCTTCGGCGGACAGCCGACCTGGGGATGATTTCCTATGACGCCACTCCGACGAGCGATGTGGACAATAGCAGCGCTTCCCTGTTGGAAAATATCAATGATGGAAAGATGATGGAAAAGGCTCATACAAGCGTAACCGTAATATGGGACATCCTATACAAGCGAAAAGGCAGCTCCAGTATAGTGGATTACGGCGGAACGATACAGGTAGGCGGAACCATACAAGCGTGTCGTATTATGGGACGTCCTATACCGGCGTAGTGGATTATGGCGGAACCACGTAGGCGGACGGAACCATACATGGATAACGTAATATGGGACATCCTATACCAGCGAAAAGGCGATACCGGCATGTTGGAGCCATATGGCTCCAACATGGTGGTTTCGCCTTTTCACTGTTGTACACGGCAATTTAGTTTTAAGCTTTACATATATGTTTAGAAAGGTCGTGAAAGCTAAATTAATGCGATTTGTGCAGGCGAGTTATATAGCCAGGCGTACGTAGTATAGGGACCTAGTCGTAACGATCAGTCAGATAATTAAATACAATTTGTTAATTAACTTTTTAATTAGTGAAAATGAAACTATGGTTTCTATTGGAAACTTGCTGAGTCACTGAAAACCACAAAATCAACTCTTTTTAGAAGGATATAATGCAGGGGTAGCATTTTACGCGTTCTGTAAAAATGCTTTATTTGGACGAGTTTCTAGGTTTCAGTTTCTTATCAGAGCTCATCTTTGCGCCCACGGTCCTGTTCCCCAGGGGCTTAGACGCGCAACACACGTGCGCCTTGCTTCCCTCCATCCTACGAGGGAGGCGAGGGGGCGGCTTCGCACTGCGGCCACCGGGCAGCAGGACCGTAGGTGCAAAGATGCGCTCTGGTAAGAAACCGAAGTCTGGAAACGCGTCCAAGTTGACCATTTTTTTAGAACACCATAAAATGCTGCTCTTGTCTTATATCTTCACAAAGAAAATTGATTTAGTGTGTTTTGATGATGCTTAGAAGTTTCTAATTGGAACCATGGGTCTATTTTCACTGATTAAAAATTTCAGGAACATACTATACTTAGAGAGAGGCTGAAGCGGTTTTGTATTTGAGAAAACACTTTTAAATCTTCTTCATTTGACCTCCAGAATCTCAAATATCAAAATTATTTGCCAATTTAATTAATCGAGGCTGCATAGAGTCATTTTTAAAGCGCTTTGAAAGCACTTCCCTAGACAGCGACGTCACAAGAGCAGCTTTCAAAATCTTTGTTCACGCATCTTCAGCGCCTATGAAAGCTATGCACGCACATGCTATTTTTTAAAGGGGCAGAAAAATGAGTCACGACTGGTGCCAATGCGGGAGAATATACCTAGAAAACTTGCGACTGGACGCGCGGCCCTTAAGCGACACACACTTGGCGGCTGAAAGGTCTTCTTACGATGTCACTATTGGTAGGATGTTTTTTTTGTGTTCTCTCACGTTTAGTTATATCTTTGTGGAAAACGAACGGGATATTCAGATTCGCGGGATAATACCACGCGAGAATGAGCCTCCATCTAGTTTTCTGAAAGAAGTCTGGCACATCTCTGTAATAAGCCGACTGATCATTACAAATTAGCCTTTTATACCATGCCGCCCTGGCCATATAACTCACATGTACAGACTGCGTAAATGTAGCTTTTACAGCTTTTTTTTTAAAAATCTGTAAAATATACAAAAAAAACACTCTGTAGAATGTCCCCCAATACAATATGATTGTATGCTTCCTTTCTCGCTTGCATTGTTCAAGAAAGACTTGTGGATATCCAGCGTTTCATTGGAATGCTGGATGTCAATGAGTCTCTACATCAGTGAGTGGTTTCAAACAATTATGATGTTTGCACACCAGTAAGCTCTTATCTGAGGCTCACCAGGAGCACTAAGAGCAGAGGCAAAATGTCGTGACCTGGTAAATTTGGTTGCAGGTATTTATTTTTAGAAGAACTGCATGCAGCAAAGCTTAACTTTGCTCAAAAGAAGATAATTAAAAATTCAATACTGAACAATGGTGTCCCTTGAGCTGTCAGACCAAACTCCCACTCTTGTCACTCAGGAGTTCCTAACTTGTGCGTAGAGGATCAGCACAATCCAGATTTGTGCTGCAAGCGCACCTGCAATATAAAAGTTGAAAAAAACATGAGATGAAATATGAGACGTTTACAATTCTCTGTAATGAGAAAATACAGTACAGCTCTTGAAGAGGAAGATGGGAGGGTATGCCCCTCCTTCCCCTCCCCTCCTCCTCTTCTGCTCCCTCCGATTTAGGGGGAAATTTCCCCACTAAATTTAGCGGGTTAAGTTTCCCAATAAATTTAGCGCGGAAATTGATGTCACATAACCTCAACACAAATGCAGTTTTTCCGCTAAAAGTAGCGGGGAAAATGACGTCGCATGACCGTGTCACGTAATCCATAAAAACATTCAGTTTCTCAGCTAGACTTAGCGGAAATATTAACGTCACATCACCACAACATTAATTCAATTTCCTGCCAAGTTTAGTTAAACGGTTACGCCGACAGCGACGCCGCGAAACGCGGAAACGGGTGCTAACAGCTGCGCTAAAAACTAAATGCATCAGGTGAAATAAAGTGAACATTAGATATACTGTAAGAAAAAGAAGAGAATCTAAGATACCGTTCTCAGATCCATCCTTTTGTCCGTTCTCAAATGTTTTGATATCAAGAAATGTTTATCTCTTTATTCATACCCAGAGAACCCGTCCCAGTTTCAGCATGAATGCAATAAATCAATGCAGACTAGACCTAGTAAACTGTAATGCACATAAAAATGAATGTTTGCCACATAGTCATGTATCAGTCAGTGGCTCAGATCTCAAAATACATTTGTATTGAGGAACATTCTTGAATAAAACTTCTGGGCTTCGAATTCAACAGTTTGTACTTCCATAAGAAACACTGTATGGCACTGATTTTTTTTGTTTTTTGTGACACATCAGAAACAGCACAACACTGTCATCCTTGCATACCTAACAAGAATTTGTATTTTTTTTTAGCATGGCATGTGCTATTCTAATGCAGATACAGCCTCCTTTAACAAAATTTCCTTTGTATAGCTTTTTATTGGTTCTTATTTAGCTCGCACGACAGATTCGGTACCTTGAATTCTCACTCGGCATCAACAGTTTTGTATATTAATGTAATAGCGAAAGACAAGATGTATGGACTTGAGTACAGTTCAACAAGCACAGATGTTGAGAAAAGTACTGAGGAAAACTCAAATGTCAAAATAAAAATAAGCTGGAATGTGGATACAATTATGGACATGGTCATGAATACAGTTAGCAGATTCAATATAAAGAATATGTGTTAGACGCACGCTCAAAGAAACCTGTTGCATCATTATTCATTCAAATTACTTTGCAGAACCCAGCGCTGCAGTCTCAGGTGGAAGTTCGCTGGATGAGTCTACTGAAAATGAGTGTAGACGGAAAAAGCAGTTTGATCTGCGATAATGAGCATTACATAATTGACATGTCATTATTACTGTTACAGTGCCGAATGTTCCAAACTGTCAGTCGCATCATTCTGTGAATTCCCTCCGTACATTACAGGGTTTGGCTCTTTCGAATGCTTTGCGAGAAAAATGATGAACTGGAAATATCTAGAGTAGTTCTAGAAAAACCATTTCCAGAATCTTATCTCAGCATCGCAAAGAATATAAAAAGTTTCTAAAGACAAGGTTAGTGCAGGAGTTGAATAAACTAAATACTTTGTTTTCGAAACCATCTTGCCGTAGTAAACGTATGAAGTTCCCCTAGGTAGAGCTAGTCATTACGGATGACTGTGCCCATTGCATACCATAAAAATTTAATTTGCGACCTACAATATTTACAAACTCAATTAACTCTGAATAAGTGGACCACTTGGCATTAAAGATTGGCCTCACCATGACTGTCTGCCAACATCTACATAATAATTTTCATGAACCTATGTATTTCAAGAAAATATTTGGTGCGAGCTGCTTAAAACACAATAGCACTTTTTAACGAGTGCTGATTGTTGGGCAAGTTGGTACGGTACGTTAGAAAACATAATTGCGCTTTGAAGACGGGGACATAGGAAGGACAGACACCACCGAGTGCTAACTT